ACTGAGGGAGGAGGAGGAATAAAAAAAAAAGAGATAGACAAAGGCAAAGCAAGATACACGCGCACACACACACACACACACACACACAGATACACAAAGGAGAGACCAAGAAAGTGTAGAAGAGAAGATTTATGAGTTAATACGCCTTTTCCAAGTTTATAGGCTCTGTGACCCTGTGAAAGGACATTTTCCAGTGAAGGTTATACTGTTCTTGAGTTAAGATTGGGATAGTCCATGTTATAGAGATGTCCTCACAGATAAATGCCTGTTGCCACCTTTAAAAGATGTTTTATCTCTATTATAATTTCCCAAGACTGTCCAAGGGAATGAATTTCTGCATTTCCATTTGAATTACAATGCACTTTTGAATGTCAGCTGAGGCATTCCTAGACTCCTCTTTAAAGTAGTTTTGGCTGTTTGAAAGGCAGCCCAGGGGTTGGGGGGCGGGGGGGAGGAAAAGGGAAAGATAGTCAAATGTCACCTCCTTTTGTGAGGACAGTTGTGGCCAAGGGGCTGATGTGGGCTGGAGAACTCTCTCAGGCTTTCTGTTTCCTGAGGGAGCTTGCTTCAAAGACAGCAACTAGACATGAAAGGAGTGGCTCTCAGAGCCGAGACCTGCCTGGGTACCGGTTTACTTCGCTGTGGATTTAATCATCAGGGGCAGTTTTCAGTTTCCGTTTGCTTGACCTTGCGTCGGCATTTGCCAGAGTTGACCACTTCCTGCTTGAGGCGCTCTCTGTGTTTGCTTCCATGTTACCTTGCTTGCTGGCCACCTCCCTTCTTGCCGGCTTCCTCTATGCCTGCTTTGTAGCCCCATCCTCCTCTGCCAAACCGGTCGGTGTGGCTGCACAGGACCCTGGCCTGGGCCCCTCTTCCTGGACTGTCCTTCCCTCTGTGGGGACTCTGTGACCATCCTGACAACTGGTGACTCCCACTTCACACTTTTGCCTCCAAGCTTTCCTCTGATATTTGCTGTTGTGTCAGCTCCCTTCCCCGCCCAAACTCTCCCCACACAACCTAGACAACTAGTACTTTTCCAGTGTTCTCACGAAACGTGCCGTGATCTTTTTTGGGATCTTAGGAAAGGAGGCAGAAGGCTGAGTCCATCTTAATATCTCCCTCTAACTCTCCCCCGCCATTTTGCAAATCTTACCCATTTTAATTCCCAATTAGGTCTTGAGTTTATTTACCCTTTTCTTTCCATCTCACTGCTGTTGCTCTGTCATAAGTTGCCATCATGGCTTGTCTGGACCCTAGGGTTGGTGTTCTACCTGGACTTCCTGCATCCACTCTTGGCCCCCATCAATCCAGACCACACAGCCGCCCTCAGGACATGGACCAGTCAGGGCTCTCCACAGAGACGGCACCAACAAGATGGGTGGTTGGATGGATGGATGGATAGATACAAGTCTCTATTATATGTAATATTCATGTAAATGATACATGATACACATACACACATGGGGGGAGAGAGAGAGAGATTTATTATGAGGAATTGGCTCATGTGACTGATGTGATTGTGCAGGCTAAGTTTCAATCCAAGATCTGTTCAGCAGATTGGAAATTCATGAAAGCTCATAGTATAAGTTCTAATTCCAAAGCTGGTAGGCTTGGGGTCTAAGAAGAATCAATGTTTGATTAAGTCCAAAGGCAGAAAGAGAATGATGTTCCTGCTCAAACAGTCAAGCAGGAGGAATTCCTTCTTACTCAATGGGAGGGTCAGCCTCTTTGTTCTAGTCAGGCCTTCAACTGATTAGATGAGGCCCCTACCCACATTAGGGAGGGCAGCCTGCTTTAGTCTTCTGGGTATCTCATCCAACACACCCTCACAGACACAGCTAGAATAGTGTTTGACCAAATAATCTGGACACCCCATGGCTCAGTCAAGATTTTACCTAAAATCAACCATCATGGGATGTTTCTAAAACAGATATTCCTTTATGCTACCTCTTGGATGAAAACCCCTTGGTGCTTTGTCCTTGTCCTGAGGTTAATTTCCAGACTCTTCTGCATGGCCTCAGGGCCCTCCCATTTGTATCCCCAGCCCTCCTCCTCCTCCTCCTCCTCCTCCTCCTCCTTTGCCTCCCCCTCCTGCTCCTTGGCCCCATCTCATCTGCCCCAGGCTGTGTGCCTTTAAGTCACACCCAGACTCACACTCCTTAACTACAGCGGAGTCAGAGATCAGAGCCTGTCTACATCCATGAATGCCAGGGTCCCAGGCAGGTGGTGGGATGTGGCTAAGCACCTCTCTCTCTTACCCTTGCACCGTGGCTTCAGCTATTTGTCGGATGTGTCTAGCTTTGAGGTGGGGGGGGGGAGGGGGGCGGTCCGAGGAGGTGAAGTGAGAGCTGGACCCTCACTCCCTAGTCTGCAGCATGCCCAAGGAGCGAACCAACTTCCTTTTCCTCAGAACTTTGCAAAAAGACGATACAGGATGTGGTTCATTAAACACAAATAGGCCCATGAGACTGCCATTTCCACCAGATGAAATTACCAAAAAAAGCATTTGTTCCCCGGTTTAGATTGAGTCCATCTGGAACGGAACACCCTAGTCTTTTTCCTATTGGTGCGTACCAAGAATAATAATCCTTTGCGGTGCTCGGCACAGTACAACTCACAAAGCACTCGCGCACATTATTTCATCCAATTTACTCCTCACACAACAGGCCTGGAAGGGAGGCGTTGCTGTCTGCATCTCACGCTTGAGGAAACTGAGGCTTGGAAGGGTAAGATGATCTGAGGGAGTTCACACCAGGGAGCGTGGCAGAGCAGGGATTTGAACCTGGGCTGCTTTGATCACGAAGACCCTGTGTGCACATAGCAAGGCAGCCTCAGAGAACTCTCTAGATGCTGGCTGGCATCAGACCCAGGGGAACTGTTTGCACTCCAGTTCTGTTTCTCTTATCCACCACTGGAAGAGCAGAGGGAGGAAAGACTTAGAGTGCAGGCCTTCAGCTAGGGCGGGGGAGGAGATACTCTGTGCACCGATACCCTTCTGATAGCTTGCGTCTCCCTCTTAGTTTAGTGACCGCACTGTGAGGCAAAGCCAAACCCCAAAATGTCAGAGCTGGAAGAGGCCATGGTAGCCATCTAGCCAGGGTGAGCTTCTCCTTATGCACTAGTTTCGATCAAAAGGTATTAGCTGCCAGAAATGCTCGCTGACAGAAATCCTGGGTCGGGACCAGGCTTGGCAACAAGAATATAGTGGTCACTTAGCAACATCTACCATGGGTGTGAGAGGAAGAAACGGTGACTCTTGTGTAAGGTGTTATCTAGTCTCATCTGGGCTGGCTGTTCCCATTCTACAGATGGGAAAGTTGAGGTCAGCTTATTCCATCTGTTAGAACCTGCAGTTGCAAGGGGGGAAACATAATAACCAGCTAACAACATTTTTTGTTTGTTTGTTTTTGGTCTTTACCCTCCCGAAAACTCAGAGCAAATTCAGACTCCTGGTTGCCAAAGCCCGCCACGCCCTCCGAGACAGCAGAGTGACTGGTTGACAGACTGCACATTTTCTCATGTTAGGGTACATGCACACACAGATACATCCTCACCCGAGGCACTGGAGACCACCCCGCCCGTCCTTCCACTTAGGGCAGCGATAAGAGATGGATACTGCTATAAACTAGTTACCCTGATTCTATTTGGACAGGGGCCAAACCACACTTTTTCCGCTACCACAGTCTTATTCCCAGGAAGGCGATACAGGGACTGAGGGAGCAGAGCTGTCAGAGGGGACCCTTCTCTCTCAGCAGTCCTGGACTAAGAATGTGGCATCTCCCTGGAGATGAATATGGGGCTTCTGTGCTCTCTCCGCCTTCAGCCCCTTACCAAGAACACTGGGCACAGAGGGAAACTTTTCCTTCCCTGGGTCGGCAGCAGCAGGTAGAACCCGTCAAGCTGAGAGCAGCCTCACTCACAGATACCACAGCACAAGGTGTGTTTCCTGCCGTTCTGTCTCTCCTTCTTCTGTCATACCTTCTTACCTGTCCATCTTTCCACACTAGTGTGTCCGGCTCCTTTTATATGCCAGGCTCTGTATCAGATGCTGAGGCTGCCAAGGAACCTGTTCTCGGGAAGCTCACAGCCAAATAGGAAAAATTAACAGGTGAACAGACAGTTACTCCCTTTTTGATAAATGCTGTAACAGAGGAAAGCGCACACACGTGTGTGTGTGTGTGTGTGTGTGTGTGTGTGTGTGTGTGTAGCGTCAGGAGTGGAGGAAGCAAGCCTGAGAGACTGGCCCCTAATCACGTAAGGTGGCTGGAAATTTCCCTGGAGGAGAAGTCCTAGCAGAGCCCTGGAGAGGGTGGGCATTTGCCCAACTGGGGTTGTAGAGAAGGGATTTTCAGGAGACAAGCCACGAATCTGGGGGTATGGACAAGTCTGGTGAGTGCTGAATCCTCTCAGACCAGTTTGGAGCAACAGTGCCTGAATCTCTTCAGGTGCTCTTTAGGGATGCCACTGGCTTCTTTTTTAGGTCTTTGAGTATCTCCGTTCCTCAGTCTTCCAAGTAGTGAGAGAAACTGCCATTGCCTCTGTCTGTAGCTGAGTAATCTCACGCAGGGGAGAGGCTGAATCTCCAAATACCTGCAGTGAAGTCAACACATGGGGCCAGTTTCACAGGTACCTGGGGAATATCTGGTAAAGCATCAAGGTTATTATGAAGATGGTATGAGACCATGTGATGAGTTGGCTTGTAGGAACTCAACACAAATCAGTCATTGTTGCCCACACCTTATCAAAGATATACCTTCCAACCAATACCGACATGCATAACTGGTGTATGTGAGTCTTCTGACCCATTTGCCAGATGTGCGACATAGGGCGAGGCATCTTGATTTTCTGAGCCTCAGTTTATCTTCAAGATGGGCATAGCGATGCCTCCTTCACAGTACTGTTATGAGCATTAGCGGAAACGATTGTAAAGTGATCATCACTACACCTGGCATATAAGAAGTACTCAGGAAATGCGAGCTGTTATTGTTATCTTTTATTATTGTGAGACACAATAGAGTCAGGGATGATTATTATTACCATCAGTTTCCCAAAACAAAGCAAAATGGGACAGCTCTTTCCAGTCCTGAAGTCACGGCTGTTTCTCACTGGATGATTTTCCAACTTGAATTTGAGTCCTGCCTGAACCCAGGGGGTGGGGGTGGGAGCAGAACAGAATTATCAGAAAGCACAGCCTGGAACCCAGCAGTGGGGCGCAGGGGAGTGTTTGCACAGCTGGGCACTGAGCTTACAGTGCACAAGAAGAATGTGTGGTTGGAGAAGGGGATGACTAAGTTGTATGGAGTTCCTACCTGCCAGTCACGTGATCTTGCATTGTCTTCATGAGAACCTGGCGATGTCCAGAGTTTTATGTCCATCTTCCAAATGAGAAAACTCAGCTGCTTCAGGTCATAGTGGCTGGTAATAGGCAGAGGCAGGAGTCTACCCCAGGACTGTGGCTCTGGAGCCCCCGTGCCCTCCTTCATCCCTGTAAGAACAGATGCCAGGCACTGAGAGCCACTGTATGCCTGCAGGCACGCCGGGCACCTCGCATACAGGATCTCAGTTAGTCCTAACAAGAAACCCCCTGAAGCTGGTGTCTTTCTGCCTAGGAAACTGAGACTCAGGGGGTGCTGGGGTTAGTGGGGGGCTGTATATAAGCCAGAGACATACAACTGATTGAAATACTTGCTCTTCCTTTTCTTTCTTTTCTTGTTCCAGGCCTCTCACCATTTACATTTTGCTATTACTTCACCACAGTGGGCACTCCAAAAAGTGTCCTGAGAGGCATTTCTCTTCCTCCTGAAACAGGTAGACATACTGATCAGGAAGAGGGAAAAGATAGAGGCAGATAAACCAGCATGATTCTAGCCTGAACGATGTCAGTCAGCTGGCTCCACATTCTAGTTTTCTAGAAACACCTTGGCTCTGGGTCGAGGCACAGGCATTGAGCCAGGCCTCAGAGACTGACTTGACCATCGATCCATTGGGTTGGAGCTGGTGTTGGTTGTCTTCATCTGACACACAAGCCCTAGTCCTCAAGTTTTCCTCTTTAAGATTCTTGGGGCCTGCCCTCCTGTTTCCTCACATTTCAGGGGTGCCCAAGGAAATGGAAGGCTCCTTTTAGAGATCTTGGTCTAAGAAGTCCCTGAGGTCTGAGGCACCAGAATCACTGAAATTCACAACTGGAAAGATCTGGTCTGAGGCATCAGAATCACTGAAATCCACAACCAGAAAGATCCTTAATTCAATAAATCTATTAACTATAAATGGCGAAATGGGTAATGAAAAACTTGTTCAAAGAGCACTATAAATTAGTGACAGGGTTAGGACTCAAACCAGCTCCGTTTTCTTTCTTCCTTCCCATTCCAAGAAGGTGTGTTAAGGGGCTATTCAAGAGACCCTGTTTCCAAAGGTATCTCATTTTTGTTTGTAACAGCTTTATTGAGATATATGTAGTGTGTATACCACATGTCTAAGGTATCTTTTTGAAACCTCTTCCAGTGGTGATTTTGCACAAAGTCTGGGTTGAGTTTACAGAAGGAAACACAACTTTTCATTATCATATTGTTGAGAAACTTCTTCAAGGAAGATGAAATCTGAGGTCACCACACCTCCCACTTTCAACTTTGTCGCACCTACTGTCAGTGATCAGGGAGACAGCTGGTGGGAGGGGAACATTGGGGCACAGCCAGCAGGTGCTAAATGGGATACAAAGTGTTCATTTGTATTAACACATGAGCTAGCTGACCCCCTGCCCTGGTTGTGTCCAGCAACAGTTTTAGTGTCTACTCTATGCCAGTGTGGCACTAAATTAAATGCGGCTCTGACTTCACAGAGCTTGGTCTAGACCTGGAGAGAGACAGGGAACGAGGAGATCACAGTGCAAAGTGTAAACGCTAGAAGACGAAACACGAAGCATGGTTTGGAGACCCGACTCAAACTGTGTGGTGGGTCAGGAAGGGCATCCCAGGAAACCTGCAAGAGGCAAGGTTTAGGTGACACTGGTGGGTAGGGAGAGGGGAGGTTGCAGGTAGCAAGACAAGCATGTACAGAGAAGACCCTGAGACACAAGAAAAAGAAGTGTATGGAGCAGACTGCTAGGGAGATACATGCAAGATGATAGATGGACAGCAGCCAGATCCCACTGGATGTGTGGGCCCTGCTAGGAAATGCGTCCTTTTACTAGGAGCAATTTAAGGTCACTTAAAGATTTCGTGTAATATTAATTTGCATTTTAAAAATTACTGATTCTAGCTGGTGCAGGGTGGGGCTGGACTTGGGATCGAAGGACATGTGTATGGGATGCAGGATGAGAGTTGGGAAGATCAGTTAGGAAGTTGTAGCTGTGTTTCAGGAGAAAAATAATACCAGCTTGATATTTCGTAGTCATGAAGCTGGAGAAGACAGAAATAAATGGGTGAGAAACGGGGGTGCTGAAGGTTTCTTAAAGTGGAACAAAGGAAGCTCAGCCAGTGTTGGAGAGGTGAGCTCAGGTTGGAGGACAGGGAGTGTGAGGCTTCTCAGCAAGGTATTCACCCAGCACAACAGCCCACAGTTCACATACCGATTACCAATACGAAGCGGGTAGCTGGACATGCACCAGACTGGTGATCAGGGAAAAAAAAAAAGTGAGATCTGAAAATGCAGGTTTGGGACCCAATTGGTAATTGTCACAGGAGAAGACAGAGCTCCCAGTATAAAGATACAGTTTCCCTTTTGCAATTTGTCTCCTCAGGGAGGACCTTTCCCAGCCCCCGCCGCGCCCAGTCCTGTTTCTGATGTTTTCTTTAGAGTGGCTTTATCTCATTCTGAGGGGCTGTGCATGCTTCTCATTTCTGGCCAGCTTTTCCTTATGTAAAATGCTGTGGGACAGTGAAGGACAGTTCTCGTGCGTGTTAAGTGGGCTGGAGTTAACGTCTCCCATTTCAGGGAGGAGGGAGACGGGCCTATGCAGCTGTCGTCACCAGAGCAAGAGGGAAGAATACATACTTTTAGCGCTTTGGCTTCAGCATTTGTACCTTTCGTTTAGCTAAGAATTAAGTAGCCTTTATGGATTGTCCAGGGTGGATTGCCCGTTTGTGTGTGTGTCACACATTTCTTCCAGCGCATCCATCAGCGCAAGCTTCCTTCTCCAGCATCCAGCCCCTGAGCCAGGATCAGGGGACATAATTAGAAGCATGCCTGTTCCCTTCCTCCCTTTGAGCCATGATATTTCCAATTTATTTCTAACGCTGCTCTAGAATCATTAGATTTGGAAGCAAGCTTCAGGTCTTTGGGCCTGAGAGTTAAGGTTTTTATTCCTTTTTCTTAATTTTTAAAAATTTTAAAAAATTTACATCCAAGTTAGTTAGCATATAGTGCAACAATGATTTCAGGAGTATAAGGTTTTTATTCTTAAGTTTAGATATTAAGTGTCATTTCACAAAAACACAGTCTTATTCATGTGGTTGCTCATAAATTACATGCGTAAAACTTTTATCAGACTCTAAAATGTGTCATCACTTCGAAGTAGTGGTATGGACTCCCACCCAGTGTGTGGTTCGGACACGCAACTGAACTTGCCACGCATCAAGATATAAAAGGGCTTATCACTCACATAATGAGGCTTTCTGCTCTCAAGCAGGTCTGAAGTGGCTAGAGGAAACAAGGAGAGACTGGCTTGGCTTGTACAGATAATGGGCAGGGGGGTGGAGTAGAGTTGTGGTGTGTTGCCAGCTGTTTGAAATCCCCTCTGGCATCAAAGGTGGGAGCACCTAGGTTTGCCAAATGAGGGGCTGATGGGGAAGTGGGGAGTTGTAGGGCTTGGATGCTGTCAGAATTCAAGCATAAAATATGGAGTCAGAATCATTACAGTTCACCCTGGATGTTTGGTTACTGAAATGTGCTAGGATTCAATTAATTCAACTTGAACTTGTGTAAGTAAGCCATATAGTACTCTGAGGCCTGCAGTGTGAGGGTGGTAAGGGAAATGAAGATTCTACTAAATGCCTTATATAAGAGCCCATCGTTGTATATTTTGAGAAGTGAAACGAGTGCTTTGGTCACCATCAATAACATCTGAAACTCTGAAGGTGGTAAAGAGTATCTTAGTGAGGCCTTTTGTTATCGATTTAGTTTGTGTGGAGACATGTGTGATCTTGATTTATGTTTTGGGTCTCTGTGCCACAAGAGATTCCCAGAGATCTTAGCTGGAGAACTGTTGATCCCATTGACTGGACCGGATGACCACATCATTGGCAATGGCCCAAATGTGTACAGGAATGTGGAGATGGGGCTGAGTGTTGGCCAGGGTGCCCACTGCAAAGAGGACTACATGAAATTTGGCCAGTTGTGCTGACTCTTGGGTCCTGTCCCATTAATCAGGAACACACCAGTGAAGGACTGAAAAGCAGTCCTTTTGCAGCTTTCCAGCAAACTCCATCATATAAGATGGTTGGTGATGCCATCTATAAAGTATATAAACTGTTTGCTATTCGCTCAGTTGATCCCAGGGGACTCCTCAGATAGCCAATGGGTCTGGGAAAGGGGGTGACCTTCTCCAGCACCATGGTATCTGGCAAAGGACCAAGGATGGAGAGGGCTCCCTATCCTACAGATGAGGTATGCCAAAGGCCTAGGTTTGGCTCTGTGCTATAGCAAGGTGGCCTCATGGCTGTGCTGAACTTTCAGGGTGCTGCTTCCACAACCCAAGGCAAAATAGGCAGCAAGGGATGGAAAGTCACAGGTTCAGTGTCTGTGACAACTGGCCTTTGTTTCCTAGAGACCAGTATGCAGCCGGCAACTGCGCTCTAATGGCTTCTGTTAATTTTTATAATTATCTGAGTTCATGAATAATGACCTGGAGGAAAAATCCTTTTATGCTAGCCATCTATAGGAATAGCTAAACACACATTTCTGTTGTGAAATAAATACACATACATGCATACAATACATACATACTTATGTCTATTTATATATAAAGTTTTAACTCCATTTAACCTCCCCAAAATAGTCAAGATGACATCCTGACTACTTTCATCAAACAATTAGCCTTTAAGCTTTATGTGCAGCTTTCCTTAGAGGAAACAATACTGTGAGTTCTTTGCCTCTGCCCCACTGGCAATCCCTCTACCTCCAATAGGCTTCTGCCACCACATCACCAACACAGGTCTGCAGTCTTCCCCGGTATTAACTTGAAAATTTCACATCAGTGCAGCATGACGGAAGTCGTGTTTCCTGAGCACCTCCCACTTTCTGAGTTAGGTACTTTTACATATGCTATCCCATTTATATCTTTTGATTCTCACAAAAGCACTGTAGAACATAAACTGTCTTTGCCTGCCACCAAATGAGACCATTCAGCAGAGTGACAACAGCCAGTAAGTGACCCACAGTTACAGTTATTATTACAAAGTGGAGGTTCTTTCTACCACTCTAAACACAGTTATAGCAAGAATTAGGCAAAAACAGCAAAGCTCAGCCAATCTAGTTGGTTAAAAATTAATCAAAATTGTAGAGCTAAAAGGGATTTTACCAATGATCTAGTCTAACCTCTTTACAGATTGGGAAACTGTTGCAGACGTCTATTGATCACCTGAGGACACCTAGGTAGGTCACAGGCAGAGCTGTGATTCAGGCCTAGACTAAGTCCAGTGACTTTCCACTACAGTACATCGCCAGTCCCAGAGTTGCCTCACTAACTCCAGACTTGGCCAGGATAGCATGAATATTAACGATATTGACAAGATACAGCCATAGGTCTGGAGTGTAAGTATGTATTTTGCTAAGCAGCTTTCTACCTCACCACTGCCCTGCTTGTAAAATTCATCCAGGCATCTGCTATTTCATATCTGTAATTTGTTCTGAGATCCTTCGAGGGGCTGTACATCCTGAGTACAAATCAGCAGCCTAGTCAGGTGCAAGACAGAGCCCCGAGTTTCACACTAGGCTCTGCCTTCCACTTCCCTGTTACAGAGCTGGGTAACACTTCACTTTTAAGAGGCCATTAATTAGTACTAGATTAAAAGTACAACTACTTAAGCATTACTTGCCTTACCCTCAGGAACACTGTAGGACTCCAGCCAAGTTTATCTTACTGGCTGGGATAATGGAGCGTCCCCCTGCAGACTGTCTCAGGCTGGAGTGTACGTACATTAGGATTGTACATTAGGATTGACCCTTACAATCATTCATGTAGTGCCTATCCCTGGCCTTTCAGGAAGTCCAGGGCAACGTAGCATTAGATTTCAAATGTCTTAGGAAAGACAGAAATAATTTCTGAAAGAGTAGGCGCATCCGTATCATTTATTAAAGTAATCTTTTTTTCTGAACACTTCCCATAGTGCCTGGCCCACAGCAGGTACTCAACAAATAATGAATGTATCCTTGCTCTAAAACCTTAAGTTGTGTTAATTACTCAGAATGATAAACGGAGGCAGGGACGTAAACAATCTATGAGTAATTTGTTGGCCTTTAGTCTTTTGTGTACCTTATAAATGGGCTTGCCTAGGAATACTGGTTTGTCCAATGTTACAGGGGCTATGTTAAGAAGACTAAGGTTACTGGACACCTATCATCATTAGCAAGTAAACAGCATCCAATTAAATAACTGAGGATATATTCCGTGTAAGGCACCATGCTATGTGCTCACAGCAATTTCTACAATCCTAGAAATGTAAAATAGGGAGAGTGATAATAGAAAGGAACAGGTGACGAGGTAAGGAAATGTCTGAGAAAAGTTGTGGTTGGCAATTAGGAACCTGTAAAATAGGAAAGAGGGAAAGTAAAGTTTAGAGTGCTTGGACCACCTCATGCCGCTCTTTTGAACAACTCAGTGAAGACAGTAATAGCAATCACTTGCTGAGAACTACATCCAAGTAGTTTCACATCCATTGTCTCCTACTTTACACCCTTCCTGTGAAAAATCATTTCCATCATTTTCCAGAAGGGGAAAGGTGAAATGACTCGCCCATGGCCACGTGGAAGGTTAGCAATGGTTTTCAGAACGTGTACTGTAGATTTGCAAGAGTTTTGTAAGAATAAGCAGGAAGTTAGATGAGGGGCTAAATAAAGCCTGTTTTCCAGGCCCACAGACCTGCTTCACCTAGAGCAGCTGTGCTTTGATCTACTTTACATAGAAGACTTTCATGTGAGACTTTATTTGAATAAGGGCACTAGTGCTTCCAAACAAACAACACACAAAAATGGCTATAATTGAGGAAAACAGTGTCCTGGGGCCATGCTATGTATGAAATTTAGTTAACACAGTAGATAATTGAAAATTGATTGTACTAAGCACAGCCTAAAATATTTACATCAAAGAAAGAAAAATATTCAGATGACACTTCTGTCCATTCCGAGCCAGCAGATGCCTGCTGTACTTGAGGACCACGGAATGTGTGTAGTTTGGCAAAGGGAAGCCCGGGATGCTGGACACACTAGCGATGGCACTTCCTTTCAAAAGCATCAGCGGCTACAGGGCTTCCAGCCCGTTTACGTGAAGCCAACCCACGGCATACCTTTCTGTGCTGCAGACCCTGGGCCAGAGGCCTGTACCACTGTTACTGCCTCAGCGACCCCCCACTGGCAGCAAAGACAGATCTCCTCCTACCAGGTGCTGTCACAGATAAAGTGGTGCTAATAACTCACGCAGCTATTTGTGATGCACTTTTAATTGGATCAATTTCTTCTCAATTATACGATCTTTGGAAATTGGATGTGATTTCATAGTCAGAACATGGGGCTTTCTCCAGGTGAAAAGCACATGACAAACTAGTTCAACATCTCACCAATTATTTCCTTTCCTATTCTTTGACAGCTATTACAACACAGGCCAAAAAAAAAAAAAAAATACTACCACCAAACAACAAACAAAAACAACAAAACACAGTTTTGAGTAGCCCAGCTTAGCAAGTTTAGTTTCTTTAGAAAGCAAGGTAATAGTTCTTTGTCTTGCCATCAGCCCTGAATCTAAAGAGTAAGATACGTTGCTTAGCAAAGACAAAGCCTGAGAAACCCTGTCACAGTTTCCCTTGTCCACTTTTGGTCTTTTTAAAGACAAGACTGCTTCCATTTTGAAATGTAATTTTAAGGATAAAAGCAAATGGTAGAGGCTCAGTTCCTAACAGAGCGCTGGTGACTCTACCGACCTTGGGGGCTGATTCTGTGTACCTGTGGGTGAGAGAAAGATTTGGATTATCTTTCCATAATGGTGGCTTAGGCTGAATTTGGACTAGTGTAGATCCTAACGCTCTCAAAGAATGCAGTGTCAGGTATGGAAGCAAAACAGCATGCCACAACTTGTCTCTCTCCATCTCTCAAATCTTAAATCTCTCCATCTCTCAAATTTTAATAGTTAATCAAAAGACATGAACACCAGTGATGAAGAAACAGTTATCAATTATTTAATTCTTGGTAGAGGAATGGAAATAAATCTCAAAAGCCAATACTGTGCAGTCACTTGAGGAAAATACAGAATAAAGACCCAACAGTTTTGTCTTAGTAATGAAAATACGATGTGCCCACCTCCCCACTCTGCTGGCCCTGGCCTGTGTTGTACAGTTCTGCAAACTCTTAGCACGGGTCAGTGGAGAGAGGTAATATGAAAAATGATGAACTCTCCAGGAGTGTTTACTGACCATATTAGCATTTGTGTTTATTCCCATCTTTCTGTGCTTTGAAAGAATTCCAGTCTATATGCTCCTTTAAAAGCAAGCAGTTTCCAGGATGAAGTCTTCGATACCAACCAACTAGGGTCAATCCATTCTCTGTCACATCTGCAATTAGAGACCAATCCAAGATGGCCCCAAACCCCCAGAGCCAAGAGGTACTGCTTCCCAAAAGGACTGTGTATCTCCCTTGCTGGCACTAAATGAAAGAGCTTTCACTCTGGCAAAGGTAAAGAGACTGTAGACATTGTGCCACAGGGCCGTGATGTCTGAAATGAAAGGGGGGCGGACCCCACAGGAGCATGCACACTAAATGCAGAGTTGAAGAGAAAGTACCACAGATAAAGCACATTATAATAGGAGGGAAATATGGGACCAGGATTATTAACAAAGCCAAAAGGGAAATCATCAAGGATTCAGTATAAGCAAATTTCAAATACAGGGGTAAGAGGCTCTCTACTGAAGTCTCAGAGGTGCCTAAATTCTAATCAAACTTCAGCTAACCCCATATCATATGTCTTATTTGGGGCAATGCATCTGTTAAAGCTCTAAATTTAGGAAGAAAATAATGCAAAAACAGACAAAACAAAAACAACTACTAAACGACAAAGCTTCTAAAATTCTAAGACTACCCAGCGGGAATGAAGACATAGGCCAAGTGCACTCTACAATACCACCGATATCCAAGGAATGAGGGTGGGGGTGGGGAGTGGGTAGGGAGCTGGCTAGGGAGAAGAAACTGTTCTCTCTTCTCCCCTAAGGGGTGGAGTATCTTCTCAGATGGTAGCTGTAAATCTTGATGCAGTGATCCCAACAGTCCAAGACCAACAGCTGCCCTTTAGGAGTGAGGGCGATGCCCACTGGACACGTGAGCCCCTCTCGAATAAGGACACTATAGCCCCCGCCCTTAGGGAAGTGGAGGATTTCCTTTCGACTACTGTCAGCCACAATGAGATCACCACGAGCATCCACACACATGCCAGCAATGCAGCGGAAATCCTCATTCTCTGAGAAAAAGTGGCTGATCTGGCGACCCAGCTGCCCATCAGGGCCCACGGAGCCAATGGAGAAGCCGCCCTCCAGGTGGTGCTCATGCTGCCGATTCTCCAGATTGAGGCCCAGGCCCTGCGTGAAGTAGACAGTGCCCTCGGCGTCGCAGGTGACAAACTTGGGCCGCACAGCACTACAGAGGCAGCTGTATTTGACCACCCCTGCCCCTCGGTCAACAGTGAAACACCAGAGCTTTCCACCTTCCACATCAGTTACCACGAACTGGCCAGATGGAAGGGCTGTGATGCCCCAGGGTTTGCTCAGCTGGCTCCTGTGACAGGCCACGCAGTGGCCATCCAAGGTGTACACCTTGAGGGAGTTGTCATAGCTGTCAGTTACACCAATCAGCCCATGGCAGTTCATGGCCACTGAGAGAGGAGTGAGGTTGGGCAGATCAGCCCCAAGGAAGCTCAGCACAAAGCTGTCGATGCCACTAGGGCTGCGGCGAATCTCCTTCAGGAAGCCTTTGCGGGTAAAGACTTGTATTCGGTAGTTGCCTCGGTCAGCAACCAGCACCTCGCCTTGACCTGTCACGTAGAGACTCACTGGGAGGTTGAACATGCCTGGTGTGCTGCCTTTGGCCCCCATCTTCTTGAGAAAGAGGCACTGCTGGATGTTGGCAGCTGTCTCGGCACCCCGCTGCTTCGCGGGCGAGGCTCGAGAGCTGGCGGCCACTTCCTCGGGGCTCATGTCCATCTCTCTAAACGTAACAGAGGTGGAGGCTGCAGAAGCTGCGGCTTCCATGGCCCAGGAGTCTTCCATGTTGACTGTCCGGGGCTTTTTAACAGCCTGCCCGATTTGGAGGGGGCCAACGTGGCCGACCTTAAGCAGCTCCACATCCTGGAGGGTAAGCTCCCGGGGCAAGCTGGCCGTGAGCTCGGGCTCCTCCTCGTCAGCGGTCTCCTCCAGGAGGGCGACATCTGCCTGCTTGATCTTGGCCAGGAAGTAGTCACAGCGCGACACAGCCTGCACCTCGGCGATGTTAAGCAGGTAGCTCTGCTCCTCCACCACTTGACTGTTGGACTTCTCAACCTCTGCCAGGGAGCCTGTGAAGAACTTCCGAGAGCGAGCCAGCTCTTCCTGGACCCGGCGCTCCTCGTGCCCGTACTCCTGGAGAACGGCTTTATACCTCGCCTGCAGGTCCTTGGAGACCCCTTCCAAGGCCACCTTCCGCCGCTGCAGCTCCCCCATGAGCTCCCGCAGACGGGCCAGTTTCTCTCCAAAGTCGTGGCGCCGCTCCTCGGCCGCCTCCTTGACGGGCAGCGTACAGTGGCCAGGGGGCTGGTGGTCAGCCTCCCGGCAGGGCTCACACAACACCACGCTGCAGCTCCGGCAATACTGCCGGGGCAGCCGCCGCCCACAGGACCGGCACATGAGCAGCCCCACGGCCTCACTGAGCCCCGCCGTGTCGATGATCTTCAGCACGGTCAGGTTGTCCGTCAGCTGGGTGAGGCTGGTTATGCGGGTGATCTTGCTGCAAAAGGGACAGCGCACGCCATTGATGCTGCTGGCCAGGAGCTTCTCCAGGCACTGGCGGCAGATGGTGTGGCCACAGTGCAGGAGCTTGGGCCGCAGCTGCTCCTCGGTGAAGGACTCCATGCAGATGGGGCATTCCAGTACTTCCCGGAGAGCATCCAGGTTCAGGTGAGACGCTGTCGCCGCTGCAGCCATCGCAATTCCTTTGAGGGGCCTGCTAACACAGCCCAGCACCGAACAGCTTGGTGTTCATGCTCCGGGGGTCAAAGCCTGCTAATAAGAGTAAGAAGCCATTACTCCACAGCTTATATGAGCTAAATGACTCAAGAAACATTTAGAGAACAGCTCCCATCACTCATCCAGCCATGGACTTATTTAACAAAGACTTACTGAGGTTGGCTCTGTTAGGTGACGGGGATATGCAGGGAAATAAAACAGATGAAGCACTGCACAGTAGATAAGAATTCAGGTTCTGAAGTCTCTGATACTTAGCTGTATGACCTTAAGGAGGGAGCCTCAACTTCTCAAAGCTCAGTTTCTCCATCACCCATCTATAAAATTGAAGTAATAACGGCATCTACTTTATATGGGTTCTGGAAGGGTTAAGCAGCATGATGAATACGACACACTTAGTACAGCCCATGGCAAGCATCATGCTGGATTAATGTTAGTGATTAGTGAAGTCCACATCTCCATTTGTATTAGGGGGAAAACATCAGAAAATTACTTGCAGGAAAAGACTACACACAAAGTTCTGTGGGTGCACAGTGGATGGAGTAACAAACAGTTCCCAGAGGAACTGGGAAGGGCTTCCCAGAAGCAGTGACACTTCTGTGAGAGGTCTGGAAAGAAACAACGCCTTGAAGGATAAAGGCATTTTAAGCAAAGAAAACGATGTAAACAAAAACATGGAGCCTTTTTATTATGTTATATCGAGTTTACCATGTCACATTTGGGGTCCTAGGAAGCATATGGGGAAACAGAAAACTAAGGTGATCTGTAAAACGTTAGGTCAGGAAATATGTGTATTTTTCATGCATCTATTCTCTCATCTACTCACCAATCCACCCAACTAAGACTAGGTACCATGTGCTGTACTATAATAGGTTTTCAGGATACAAATCCTGCCCTTCAGATCTCAAACTTTAGGAAAGGAGACAAGACATGCAGGCAAATAATAGCCAAGGCAGAATGGAGGCTAGGAGGCATTTACTCTAACTTGAAGGGAAACAGAATTTTTGGTGGGGGTGGGGGATGGCATTGGATCGATCTCTGGAAGGGTACACAGATATGTAGAGATGGGAGAAAGGAGTACCAGACAAAGGGCAGTCTTAATAAAGGTTAGAAAGCAAGGGGAAGAGCAAGAGCGTCAGGGTATTAGAAAGAGAACCTGTCGCCTCTATACATTTGTTTCCTCATTTGTACCATGAAATAATACCGCCTTCACAAGGTCGGTGTGGGGATTATATGAGATAATATAGGCAGTGTAAGAAATGCTAAGTTTTGGCTTAGTGCCACAAAAGTCTTAAATAAATTTTAGTTCTCGTTTCTCTCATCCTTAAGGTTAAAATTGTGGGAGAATATAGGTAGATTAAAGTAATTGGCATGATTATGAGAATGATTCTAAGAAGTCTTAGAATCATTTCTAGAGCCAAAATGAGACCTTTAGATGTCATTTTGATGGGCACAGTGAAGCAATGCATGTTTTGAAGCAGGGAACTGATACGATCAGAGCTTGAATGGAGTAGGTGAAAAGGCAGAGAAACTAGTTTGGAAGCTGTTAGAAAACTGGTTGGCAGAGGTTAATGGGGAGCCAGAACTAGAGACCAAGTGATGGAAATGAAAAGAAGATGCACTGGAGCAATATTCCAGAAGTACAATTACTAAGATGAGTGGATTAAAGTAGGAAACTGGTGGAAGTAACTGAAGACTCAAGCCCAGTGATCTAAAAACCAGCAGTGCCTTATCAAGACTGTTTATTTTTGGCCCAGAACACCCCCTGCTTCTCCTAAGTACATGCCATAAATACTCCCACCCACCTTGATCCACATATGCTCATGAAATAGAACAGAGATCTCAGTGCTCTGCAGACCTCCATCATTGTCAAATTTATACCCCAAATTAGAATGAATAGATCTAACAAGGTGAGGCACATGGATAAACTGCAGCCCTTCTTAAATGCAAATTCTACAGTCATGCGTCTGTGCTCTCCTGATACGCAGATGGTCAGCCATCAAGGAGAAGAGGAGGGCAAGTTAGCTGGGCTTTAAGGACAATGCAGCAAGCTGAAAAAGACTGCAAATGTCATCAACTTTCTCCATGCATACAGAAGAAAGGGCATCTCTGCAATGTATCACAGAACTCCGCCATATTTAGCTTTGCATCGCGATCTGACAAATACTCAATAGCAGAAACACACAGTATCCAAAGGCAATCCAACCTCTCTGAAACCCCAACTCCCTTCTACTGGAAGGGAAACTGTATACATCTAGTACCTTCTATATGCTAGATACCATACTAGATGCTTCATATACTTAATCTCATTTATTCCTCCTCATGCCCCTATAAAGCAGGTGCTATTTTTATTATCTCGTTTTACCATGAGGAAAAACTAAGGCTCAGAGAAACTGGCTCAGGGTCACAAAGCTCACACATGGTGAAACCCTGCAGTACAGATAACCTTTAATTTTGTTTAACCCAGAATCACTTCAAGCTTTTTTTCCTTCCCCACACTGGCATATAACACTTGTTAACAAGTGTTCTCCAGACCATACTCTGGAAAGTTGCTGCCTTACAGCATAGGATTTTCCCTACAAACAAAAAAGAACAATACTAGTGTTATGATATTTAGCTTCTACAGCATGGGCTATATTGATTTATTAGCTGGGTGACCCACTCTCACACACCAGCCTTGCAACCCATTATGATTCAAATCCATGTCTCAATAAAATGACACATTATCACATATCATGAACCTAGAAGGTCTCAAGTGAATATCTGAAACTTAATACTGAATTCTGAAATGCCATGGGTCTTGGCACAGTAGTTTGGAACTACTGATAGAAACCTCTACTCAGAATCCATGCAAACCTTAGCTCTAAACCAATAGCTTCAGTCCCTTCTTCCATCATCTGGGACAACAGACTGAGGGCAACATTTGGTGTTTAGATCAAGAGCATGTCACCTTACAATGCAAGGGACATCTGTTCTTCCCAAAGCTGGCACTGCAGATCATCTAATTAAACAAGTCTGCCAACTTGTAAAAATACTAGCAAATTCTTTCCCCAGCTTTCTGGAATATCGTACCACCTCCTTCAATTAAAAAGCTTCTTGCCTCCCTGTCTAAGCCATCCAATTTAAAAACTGAATTTACTATGCCTACATCCATATCCCAAAATATCTCAGCTGTCTGCAGCTTCACCAGGCTCTCTGAGGCAGGAGAGAGTGTCAAGGATTCCTGCTCTAATGCTGGCTGGCATGCTTTGCCAGGAAAGCAGGAGTTGCCATCATGAGAGCATCGGGTATATACCTCAGACTCGGAAAAAGCCGAAACCATGTCTCCCATCTCTATGAGCTGAGAACACTGCCTTCGGTAGGATCCTTGCCTGATACAGAGCTCTCTGTGACAAGCACATACATTCCCCCTCTTCCAGAAGCATGCATCTAAACATTACTGTTAATCCTGACAGGGATCCAGATGGAAAGTCAGTTCAAACTCAGTATCCCTGCAAGGGCTAGATGGGTGACAGGAATTGTCTAACGATCCCAAGTTTCCAAATTAGCTGCCCATTTTCTGCCAGATACAAAATCTAAAAACAGAATGAACCCCCAACACGTTCTTCACAATAATCTTGTCTACCTTCATGATACCTGGAACATGTTTCCTGTTGTGTCTTTCCACTGTCAACTCTTGATGCTCACCTTAGCCCATGCACTGTCCCATCACTGCTCGGATCTCGTGATTAATACTGCACATTGCCTACTGATACCAGGCCAGCTCTTCAGGTGAGAATCTATGCCTTAATCTGTGTTTGGTCCAGGTGCCCGAAGGCTCAGGAGAACTCTATAGTCCCTACCCTAGCCTACTCCAGCCACTTCTGGCACCACTAGGCTTTCCCCTGTCCATGATTTAAACAACCAGGATAGCAGGAGGGGGAAAAAAAGGCAAACAGAAACCCACGAACCCCAAAGTCAGACAGAACTGGGATCAAATGAGCACTGTCATTTTCAAGGTGTGGGACAACAGGCAAGTTAATTTAACCTCACTACATTTGTTTTCTTACTTTACAAAAAGTGAGAAATTAAGGATAATGCATACAAAGTGCCTAGTCTGGAAACTGGCAAGTATGAAATGAAAAACTGCTATTTATCATAGTTTTAGTAATAATCAGCAATGGTATTAACAGTAACAACTAGTACTAGTATAAACCAAGCACTCTGTTTATAAAGTACATTTTCAAATGATGACGCATCTTTCTTTCTATGGCATATAAAAGCATGTAAAGATTAATAAAAGGACTGGCCAGCTTTGAAAGATTTTGATTGAGGACACTAGGTATTCATGCTAGAAACTGACAGGCACATGAATTCACAACTCTTTTTCCCAGAAAAGAAGGCTCCTTCTAGTGGGGACTAAATATGGAATGCTAGAATTAGCAGTGATCTAAAAGAGTAAAACAGATGAGTAAACGGAGATCAGGAGAGAGAAATCAAGAACTTGTTAATCATATGGGAGAACTAAGACTAAAAGACAGGAACTGGAGGTGACCAGGATTATACAGAGTGAGAAAGTGGGCTCAGGAATCAGGCTTTCCAGATTTCAGTCCTGGCCCTACTGCTTACTGTGGAGACGGACGAGTTAAGTAACCTCTCTAGTTGGTGGTCTAAGGAAACGGGTTTATGATAGTATCTGCCTCACAAGGTTATTGTAAAGATTAAATGGGATTACGTGAATAACACACTTCGTATCGCACCAAGGGAAGCATACGGTTAACTATGCGGTATTTATAATAGTGCACCGGCAGCCACTGCCCAGCTGATGAGAAAAGAATAGGCGCTTTTCAATAGACATATGTATGGAAGATATCAGATATGTAAATCTCAAAAGTAAAAATTCTGAGCCTTCACTAAAGAGTTTTTACCTGAGCTCCAAATCAAAAGATTGGAGATGACTAAAGGTCACACATGTGTCAGCTCCCGGGTCCTTAGGCCATCAGCAGAACTGAAGAACTTTAGGCAATTAATTAAACCAGTCTATTTGAGCACACAGTCTAGCCCCATAAAAATACAAGGGATGTAATTTTGAACAAACCCAAACATGAACAGAGCTCCTTACTTAAAAACCAGAAAATATGTAAAATGGTAACTACAATTCCTTTCACAAGACAGAAAAGTTCACCTACCACTGGCACTCTGCTCTGCTCTGGCAGGGGGGGTAGGTTTGCAAGGCTTATCACATTTCCTTTCTAAACTGTATTTATTCCTCTTGCATTTGGATGGAATGCAGATTGAGTGCACAACCATCTCCGTGCCCCCAACGTCCCTTTCTGGGAGGTGCTAGCAGGAGTGATTTTAACAAAGTCAGCCAGGCCCACGCGTGACGCTGACCTAGTCTTATATGTGGAAGAGGGTCTGTAGTTTATTTACTCAGGGCACTTAAGGTACCTGCAAACAGCTAAGAGAAACTGAACAAGTAGGAATAGGGAAACACAAGCATGACCTGACCAAAGCTGTACCAGTCTGAGACATACAGAACAACTCAGAAGAAAATGTTTGTAGAAAAGGAAACCTCAGCTAAAGTATGTCAAGAATAGGCTAAATCAATAACAGAGTTTGCTGGAAAGACACTTGTCTTCTTCTTCTAAAGCTGCAGGCGCTGGAAAGATTCCCTTGCATCCTCCACAAACATTTGGACTTAGTACCAATGCTGCCAATGTGACAAAGACTCTCGATGGGAAAAACCAACAGTCCTTTCTCAGAGGACTTCCAACTCCTCTCGACTCACCCACTCCTCTTCCACTTCCAGGATCTACATGCAATACATGTTCACTTAACCATGAGCTTTTGATGGAAGGATCAGGAAGCAGATCCTGGGAAAGGTAGAGGAGGGGATGGCAATTTGGGGGAGACTGGCAGGCGGCTGCTAGGGTCACTGAAATTTAGCAAAGCAACCCTCAGTTCCCTTCTAGCAATGCCTTCCTCTTATAAGTGCTCTTATGAAACTACCATGTATTGAACGTCAGGCATCTTTTATACATTATCTCCTATTCTCATAATCACTGTGAAATACATGTTTGTTATTCCCTCTTTATAAATAAGGAAACCAAGGTTCAGAGAAAAGCGACAGGGTCTCAAAGCTGGCAGGGAGTAGAACTGAGATTCAAATCCAGGTGTGTCAACTCCCAGTCATAAAACCACATCAACTCAGAAGATCCGTTACGGTTCCCTCGCTGATGAGGCGGCCGCCCGCTCTCGGCAGTTTGGCTGAGAGGTTGATAAAGGCACCTGGGAATGATTTTTAAGTCAAACTGTTATACCAAAAGGACAAAAAGGAGGGACTGTCACAGAGGCAGTGCATCAGTGTGCAGGGACAGGCGGTCTGCCTAAAGAGCTTTGTAAACCTGACTACCAAACTCTCCAGACACAGGTGTACAGGCTATACGTGTTGGAGAAGCCATTCTAATAAAACTAGTATAATGTAACTTAGAAGTCAGGCAGAATGGGGCTCACATCCCGCTGTGCTACGAAGCCTTAGGTAAAGCATTTAACCTATTAGTTTTCTCATCCGCAAAATATGGAATAACATCTACATTTTTTGGCAGGATCACTGGGAGAATTAACTAAGTTGATGCACATAATAAACAGTAAATGGTTGCTATTCTTATTTTTAATAGAGGCCGCTAAGAAATGTCCAAGACGAGCTAGTAAATTAGCAGCAGAGGAGGGATTTTGGACTTGAAGCCTCGGACTCCCAGGCTGGTTCGATTCCCATTCCCTACTTTCCATAGCGGTATGCAGGAGTATTCCAGCTAAATCTCTTGCCTTCTGATGCAGTCTTACTGTGTTTCTGAACTGGCTTCAGCAATGCCCTAGCTTGTCCTGGAGCTGACAGACCAGATGCCACAACTCTGTCCCCGGGGAAGGAAACCCAAGAGCTCATTTAGAACCAGGAGTTACTTTCCAGAGTGTGAGTGCCTTCAGCTTCAGTCCCTGCTGGGAAGTGTTGTGGTTGTTGCTGTTGTTTACCAAGCCGATGCCCTCTACACCTCACCCTTTAGTCTCTAGCACCTCATCCCGTCTAACTTCAGGCCCCTCCCCTGATCTGCCCACTGGTCCTGGTCTAAGAGCAAATCAGGAACAAAGTCCAGGGCTACTCCCTACCTAACTGAGATAGTTCTGTCCCTTTTAGAGTTCAACTGGATACTCAGCGATACTCCCTGGACAATTCTTTCATTCGAGGGGAACAGGCTGAGACAGTAAGACGAAGCAAAGTCCAGCAAGGAAAGAGCCCTGACTATGAGCTTAGCTCTGCCATTCCTGGTTAGGGAACCTTAAACAAGTCACCTCCCAAGCCTTAGTTTCCTCATGTGTACAACTGGATATGGTAGGACCTGCTTAGTGGCGCGGGTAGGAAAACCGAGAAAGCACATACAAAAATTATAAATTACTAAATTTTGGGTGCTTGCTGTGCACCGGGCACGGCACACTCTGATTTACCTCCACTGAATCTTCACGTCAGCTGTGATGTCGTCTGGTGATTAATTCCATGTTACAGAGGAAGAGCCAGGCGCGGGGAGGTTAAGCAATTCATTCAAGATGACAAAGGAGGGAAGAGAGACAGAGAGACAGAGCGAGCCAGGATTTGAATCCAGAACATCCTGAGCAGAGTTCCCCAGCTTTGGGGCTAGGTAATTCCTTGTTGCGGGGGCTCTCCAGTGCACTGTAGGGTCTTTAACGGTGCTCTTGGTGTCTACCTACAAGAGGCCAGTAGCCCCCATCCCCCACTGTGACGGCCAATACATGCACTTTAGAACCCCGCACATCAGTGTCCCTCCTTTCCCTGTCATTCTTCCAGCCCAAACGCCTCACTCACAGAGCCACACTGCCTCTTGCAGCTGTAGTAGACCTTATGCGGGATTAATTCAATCCACTCATGTAACCAGCAAGGGCAATAAGACCTGAGATCTTGTTCTCCTCCACCTGGAGGTCCCCCATACTGTCTGCTGTCACAGCTTGGAGGGACAGGGGAAAGAACACTTGGGCAGATGACCTTCAACAGCTTCCCGCTTCATGCCTCCTTGAAGCACTGTATCCTACCACTTCTGGCGGCCCGGGTTGGGGTCAGAGTTAGCGGCAGTACCCTGGGTACCCTGTGAGCAGCGGTCTTTGGGGAGCAAGCGAGGGAGGGAGGGAGGTCCTCAGGCTCCTTCAGGAGTCCTGATCTCTGAAGACTTCTGACTCAGCTGCTGAACCCCTGAACTTTGCAGAGCTTCACACACTCAAATCCAGTCTCATACATTACCCCCAGGTCCTTGGGACTCTGGCATAGTACTCCCATTGCCTCCCATGCAGATTTCAGGAAAATTCTTTTAGCTGCCCAAGACGCCAATCCATAAAACCTATTCAGGGTCCTTGGAGCCCCTTCATTCTATAACCCAGTTAGTATTATTTCAATCCTGTCCTTCAGCCTTCCCTAAATCCTGTCCCCAACCATCTTAAAATAGAGAATTTAGCCTTTTGGGGCTCTATATTGCAGCCCTTACCAATTCTTCACTCATGTGCCCCAAATCCCTCTGACATAGATCCTTTCATCTGTTTCCAAATCTCTGCAGCCTTCAGCCTTGCATCCCCAGCATTAACACCCCAACTGCACACTCCAGACTTCTGCCCCACCCCCGTCAATCTGAGCTCCCAGCTCATGCATTCCATCGGGTAGTCTGCCGGCCTCAAGCCCGGTTCCTTCCTCTTTTATCCACCCCATGTCATGTGCTGCCTTCAAACCTTAGCCTGGTCCCTTCTTACAAACGAGACACTGCCTCCCACTGACTCCCCCGAGAACTCACGCCCTCAATTTTCCCCAGATCCCATCTGGAAAACGCTTCCACCGAAGGCCCAGCTCTCTGATCTCAGGTTTTGGCCCCTCAGATGCCTAGTGACCCTAGGTTGCCTCCTACCTCCTGAGATGCGGCACCCCAAATCTCATCAGAGCCCCCACATTCCTTTTTATTTCCGAAATTCTGCACCGCAGATGCCTCAGGGCCTTCAGGTACCCTCCCATCTCCCAGATGCTGCACCCCTCTTTCCTCGGGGCCCCCGCATTACCTCAGACCTCTCGAGATGCTGCACCGGGTATTCTGGGAGAGGCCCTCGCTCGCTCCCCTCCCAGCGGAGCTGCATCTCCTCTGAGCTCCTCTGCCCCTTCGAATCACTCCCAAGCCTGTCCCTCGCAGCCCCACCCCCACCCCGGTCCTGCCCCCAGATCCGGCCCCCAGACCCCGCCAGTCGGGCGTGGGCCGGCCGATGTACGCCAGCGCGGCCCCCCCCCCCGCCCCGCCCCGCCGCTCAGCCACAGCCCGCGACGCTGGCAGCGGTCGCTAGTCCCAGACCCTCTTTCCCGCCCCTTACCTGACCGCCCGCGGTTGCGACGCCTCCACCGCCGCCAACCCACCCGCCCGCCGCCCTCTGCGCACGCGCCGCCGCGCGCCCCTTGGCGGGCGCTAATTCGCCCAACCGTCTGTCCGTCACCGCGCCCCGCCCCCAGGGCATGCTGGGGCTTGTAGTCACGCGGACCCGAGTGTTCGCGGCCCAGCGGCGGAGTAGAGGCTGGCTCCCAGCTGGGAACGTGCGGGGACTTAGGAGCGCGCGCGTCCGCCTTGTGTTCCGCTTGTGCGGACGGGGAAACTGAGGCGACAGCGGCCCGCCCAGGTTCCCTCAGCGAGTCCGCAGCTAAGCCAGAACTGGCGTGTGACTCCAGTGTGTGCGGTTCCCGCTTCGCTGACCCATGACGTCCAGGAGCTGGCCTCGGCAGAGCCTGGCCCCTGGCAGAAGGGCGTCTCGGAAGTGCAGCCAGGGCATGCGAGGAGGCACCGGGGGAGGAGTACGGCTTCCCCCGGGGGCGGGGGCAGAGCCTGGACTCGCCTCCAGAGCTCGTTTCTGGGGCTCTGTGTTTCTACCTGGGACTGGCGGCTGCCTGGTGTCGAGTTCGTGCGACGGACCCAGTGCTCCTGGGAGAGGAGTCTTTTCCTTGCTTGGTGCGGAGGCAGCGGCAGAGCTAAGTAGAGCCCCGCGCTCTGCACCTGCTGCCGCCCCTGCAGAGCCAAGCGCCCTCCAGGACACCCAGGGTCCGGCCAGTCAGGCCTACGGCCGCTGAGCACCTGTGGCCCCTTCGGGCAGTTCCAGGTCCAGTAGCTGCTGGTGCAGCAGACCTCAGCGTAGGAGCAGGGAGAGGGGGTTGAGGCTGCCCGAGCCTGACCTGGAAATCCCACATAAGTATGTGACCCTGCGTAATGATAACACAACGGAAGCAAGAACGAAACGACCACCTTTGAGCACCCGGGTGTCTGGCTGCAGCTAAGCACTTCCCATGCAGAGTCCCTTAATTCTCATAACCACCCTATTGGATAAGCAACTGACGCCCAGATGGTTAAACAGCAAGGCCATGTGTTCACAAGGATAAAGCAGAGATTGGGACCCAAGACTAGATAAGAACCTACCCTAATGATCTTGTTTATCTGCTCGGCCCATTTCTTTATTTCTAAATGGAGATAAGTGTTGCTATGAGGATTAACCAAGATTATGAATACATAGTCGTTTGCACTTAATTAACAGTGATTTTTGTTAATTATAATTAAAAGAGTCTTACACTCTTTAGACTGCTGATTCCACAAGCCCCAGTGCCCAGCATTTTAAAGAGTCAGGGCAAAGGGAAGCTGGGTTGGCATATTCATGGCATACTTTGAACAAGCCTGGTGGCTCTGGATACCTGGATTGGCATAGAGCTCAGGGACTATTTAGACCTCAAGGATATATTTGCAGTCCATAGCCGCCCAGGGTTTTGACCAGACAGACCAGGAATAAGTTGAGTCCCGAGTGGGCTGAAGAGGAAGCCCAGCTGGGGACTGAAGGGCCCTGGGGCAGATTTTGCTCAAAACTGGCAGCAAGCCAGCAGATGCAAACAGAACCCTTCGGGGCCAAGGGAGGAGGAACGTTTGCATCTGTTAGCACAGTGCCCAGCACCTAAGAGTTGCTGAGTAAGTGAGTCGGACTCAGAGATGTGATTTTAAGCAAATTGCATTTCCTGTCTGACCTACACTTAACTCTAGCTGCAGGATGACTCGGGATGGGGGTGGGGGGAGTCCACTGAGTAAGAGGGGACCAGTTTTTGAACACCAGCAATATACCAGACACTTGGTAGATACTACCGCATATCACAGTTCCCTCTGCAATGATTCAAGTAGAGATTAGTAGCTCCGTCTTACAAAGAGGCATCTGAGCTTCAGCAAGACTAAATAGTTTGCCCACCGTAGCCTTCTAGGAAGTGACAGGACTGAGGTGCAAACCGAGGCCAGCTAGCCCATGGACATGCTCTGAACCACCATCTAAAGACTACTCACAGTTTATGACAGGAGCTATCTTTCAGTTTTATTGAGGATTGTAAGAACCAAAAGAAGTAGAGATGACAATGCTTAGGAATTCAAGGAATTTGGGGCAAATTATGGCTATTATTTCTGACCACAGAGCATGATCTTGTCAAGGCAACGACACACTCCAATGAGGTCTTCTGGGCAGCAATGCCAGGGGACAGCAGGAATTGCCCTTTGTCCTGAGTTTCTGCCATGTTGGAGAGTCCGAGTGGCTTGTTTCACCAAAATGGCAAGAAACCTTTCTGGATAGGGACGTGGGGGGTACTTCTAACAGCCCGCATGTTAGAGGCCAGGGAGAGAGAGCTGCTGTCCATGAGTTTCTTCCCAAACTTAAGACCTCACCTGGACCCTCTTATCAGACCAGATGGGGTGTGATATCACAGAGTGTGAACTCTGGTGATATCACTCTGAAAACCACAGTTCTCAGCCCAAAGTCTCAATTCGGGGCTCATCATATTTTTATACTGATGTTTCCCCATCGGAGAGAGGAGCTGGTGGCACTCCTCTGACAGTCTGAGGATATTATCCAAGCATGCCTTTAAACAACAACAACAATGAAAAACCCTTTATCTTCTCTTAAAAAAATGTTTGGCTGTCCTTTTCCTTTTTTTTAATGTTTAAATTATTTACCAGTTATATTAATTACCACACTTCCCACAAAAATCTCAGAGTAAAATAAATACCCTGGGAAAAGGCACTCATTTTAATTCTGTGGCTTTGCATACTCTGGCACAATATTAGCATTCCTCATACACAGAGACGTTTCTAAAATACTCTGTGGAGTACTTTACAATTTATTCAGCATTTTAACATAATCATTTTTTCATGTAACTTTTAAACTACCTGTATCGATTTCCTCAGGCTGTCATAACAAAGTATCACAAACTGGGTGGCTTAAAGCAAGAGAAATTTATTCTTTCACAGTTCTGGAAGCTAGAAATCTGAGATCAAGGTGTTAGTGGGACCATGCTTCCTCTGAAGTCTCTAAGGGAGGATCCTTCTTTCTCCTTCCAGCTTCTGGTGGCCACAGGCATCCCTTGGCTTGTGGTAGCGTAACTCCAATACCTGCTTCCATCTTCTTGTGGTTATTTTCTCTCTGTGTGTCTCCATCTTCGCATGCCATTCTCCTCATCTCATTGGGTGTGTCTGTGTCTTCTTGTAAGGACAGCAGTCAGATTAAGTGTGACCACCATCTTACCTGATTAAAACCCCAATATGATCTTAACTAATTACATCTGCAATGATCTTATTTCCAAATATAGTCTCATCCTGATGCATAGGCTATCAACCTATCTTTCTGGGAGACACAATTCAACAGATAGCATCACTCTATGAGATAAGCACTGTTTTCTCCATTTGCTAAGATTTCTGGTTTAACGTCTTTTTTATTTTCCTAAAGATGAGAACTGAGCAATAGCTAACTCATAGGATTTTGAGGGGCAAAATGAGAAATATTAGATGTTAAGCATTTACATTTTAGGATGTTCCCTGACTTGTAGTAATGTTTAATTTATCGTGCTTTTGATAAATAAGTTTTCTTAACTCCACCATTGCATACCAAGCTCCAAAGGGGCTTTGGAGTCAGGCCTGTTTGGAAACCCAGTCCTTCAACCCTACCTTGAAGTTATTTTGAGGAAAAGACGATTTGAAGTGAAGCTTGGTAACTTGCTGCAATTGACAAGCTGTGGAACCTTAGAGAATTTACTTCAAACAAAACAAATGACACAAAGATGAAGAAAGAGAGACAGAGCGACAAACCAAGAAACAGACTCTTAGCTACAGAGAACAAACTGATGGTTACCAGAAGGGAGGTGGGTGGGGAATCAGGTGAAATGGGCGATGGGGATTTAAGAGTACATTTATCATGATGAAAAGATTAAAAAATTTTGGAAGTAGGCATAGATATAAATAAATAAAAATTACGAAAAAAAAAAAAAACCTGGTTCATTGTCACACCCAAAAACAAAGGAAAGGTGTTTAGCCCCTCTGTACTTTACTTTCTACCTCTGCAAAATGGGCATAATAGTCATGACCTATAGGAATGTTGTGAATGTTGAATGACTTAATAGAGCTCAAGATTTTAGAACACGGCCTGGTAAAGAGTAAGTGCTCTGTGAATGTTAGCTACTATTGCCATTATTGTATTACTGTGATCTATTGTATTCTTGACAAAATATTCTCTCCTTCTTCCCTTATTACCAATGAATTCTGAGGAGGAAGAGGAGTTTGTGTTTATAGAATATGAAGGAGAAAATGGAAGGAGTTAAAACTCTTACTATATCCTAGCCAAATTTGTTTGATTCTAGAGGTTTCAAATTGCTAGAGTTTCCATGAAATGATATAATAAAGTTGTATCTCTCTATATCTATCACTTATGTATCACTGAAAAATAAATTACCCCAAAGTGTTGTGGTTTAAAGCAACACATTTCTTAGTCTATAGTCTCTGTGAGTCAGGAATCTGAGCACAGAGATTCTCTGCTTCACAGACTCTCATAAAACTACAGTCCACTTAGCCAGGGCTGGGGTTTGACTGGGGCAGGATCATTTCCAAGATCATTTATGTAGTTGATGGCAGGATTCAATTCTTGAAGGTTGTTGGACTGAGGGCCTTCATTCTTCGCTGCCTTTTGTCTGGAGGTTTCCAACAGTTCTTGACATGTGAACCACTCCATGAAAGCCTGTTTCATCAAAGCAAGAGAGGGTCTGGACACAGTCTTTTGTAACCTAATCACAGAAGTGACATCCCATATTGCCATATTCTGTTGGTTCAAAGCAAGT